ATATTGGGACGTCGGCAGGCTCGTTCATTCTCTCCTCCTCCTAGTCCCCCTTCCTCTCAACGTCGTGTTGACGCTAATTTGCGGGGTTCTTTGTCTTACCGACAATCTGCTCCGCCACGTCGGCGACGTTCGTCATTTACGCGCCGACCCCGCCAGATCACAGCTGGCTTTCCTGTGGTGACCGATTCGGATCTGCGGGCAGACCTACCAAATTCTTGTGGTTTGACAGCCACAAATGTCTGCCTACAGGCTTATCAGCGTCAATGTTATACTGCGTCACAGTTTGTTACGATTGCTTATCAGCTTGACGCTGTTGAAAATCAGTTGTTGTATGACCATAATGGTGTCCACCTCCTGAAGGTAGTAACTATGCTACCTCAGGAGGCTTTACTGTAAATGTCTTACAGTTAGCTTTCCATGGTCGCCACCTTCTTATGCATCATGCGACGCCAGGCAATGACCTCAATGACCATCCTCATATTTCTGCCTGTATTTTACACAGACCCGGGCATTATATGGCACTCGTTCATGCAGCTGCCCAGTGGGAACTGTGGGATGGTGGGACAATGATTCGGGCCATTTCCATCGTAAACGAGTTTTTGGGTGCATTGCCGAATCATACTTTATTCTGGATTATTGACCGACTCTCGTGTGACACCTGTCGGGGCAGAGACGCGGTGCGTCTTGGTTGTGGTATTCACCATCTATGCCATCACCATTATCAAACTATTGCAGCCGCCGCCGTCTGTGCCGAAGGGTGTCCAACATTCCCACATTGTACAAATCCCTATCACCCAGACATTCGTTGTCCCTTTTGTGAGCAAGGACGCTATCAGGACTGCATGATGCCGCACTGTGATGAACGTCCTGCTGTTTTTTTGACATGTGGACAGCATGTCCTTTGTCAGGACTGCTTTGATGGCATGGTCCGTGCTGGCACAGCTCTCCTTGGGTATCCTTGTGAACATCCATGCCACCCTCAGCATGCCTGTCCTATCTGCCGGGGTGGGGGGTCCTCTTCCTAACTGGTCTCAATAGAATCAAGCAGGTTGGGAGCAACACTGATTATAGGACATATAAAGCTTTTGATACTTGGAAAAATGAAAAGAAAAAAAGAAATTGGTTTATCTGAGGGATGTGTCAATTGTTTTGCTTGGCTAATATGCCTGCCTTCCTCTTCCCTTGTCCTTTCTTTCACTGGATCCCTTTCTCTTTTTCTTTCACTGGTTTCCTCCTTTTCTTTACCTCTTTGCCGTTTGGCTGCGTGCAAGTGGGTCCTTGTGACACACGGGGATGGGGGCAGCCAGCCGTCAACCTGTCATCCACGTGGCTGGCCTTGTACGTAAGAGGTGATGAACAGGTGTGGCTTTGCTTCCTTCCTTCTTTTCCTTTCCTTGTTTTGCTTTTTTCTGCCTTTGCGCTCCGATTCACAGTGTGGCCCGACCGGGCAAGTGGTCCCGGGCCGCTCTGGTAGCCGAACTTTTTTTTTTTTTTCATTTTTCCTTCTTTTAAAGATTTTTTTTTCCCTCTTTTTTCCCCCCTTTTTTCTTTTCATTTTCAGTTAGCCAAAAGCTTTGTCTAAATACTTGTAAACCTGAACCTGATGAATGAGGCCATGCTCACATTAGCTCTTTCGTAAATGTATCTGACTCCAATTACGGCCAGATCTGGATGAACCTGACCAGAAGCATGTCCAGAGCTTAGCCCTGACACATCACAGTTGGCGAGTCGAAGTTGGTGTTAAAGGTGCCGCGTTATAAAAAAATGACTGACTTTTCTTCCCCCCCCCCCGCGTCTAAGGGCTTACTCATGTGAGGACTTTCTCGACTCAGCCAGACGAATTCAGGTCCTGCTGCAATTGTGCTCCAATACATTTAGAAAAGTGTAAGTGTGAGTATGCCCTGAAGATTCTCCACTGCGGCCATGTCTCACTCCCAGTGTGACTGATCATCCGAAATGACCAGCTAAGCATCATCGGCTTGGTCGGCCACACTGCGTGGACTCGTCAATCAGCGCGAAAAGCTTTGACTACCATGCCAAATTGACTTCCTAGACTGTTTGGGACTTTTCCAAACTGTTTGGTAAATTCCCATGCGCTACACACCCGTTCGCCGTGTGTGTCTTTGTGTGTGTGCGTGTGTAAGAGGGAGAGAGAGAGAGAGAGAGAGATGCTACACACCCGTTCGCCACTGACGCGCGCGCAAGAGAGAGAGCTGCTACACACCCGCTCGCCACTTACGCGCGCGCGCGAGATAGATAGATAGATAGAGAGAGAGAGAGAGAGAGAGAGAGAGAGAGAGAGAGAGAGAGAGAGAGAGAGAGAGAGAGAGAGAGAGAG